CTTAAATGTGGACGAAAAGTTTAACACTTTTCTCCAAATTACAAAGAAACGGCTCTGCAAAGAAACGGTTTTTGATTTTCTAAAATCGATTCGATAGTATGAGCTTAAATGTGGACGAAAAGTTTAACACTTTTTTCCAAATTACAAAGAAACGGCTCTGCAGAACGCCGCACAATACTGGAAAAAAATAGCCCTCATCGAGATACATCGAATGGCTTTTAAATTTTTGAAATCGGTCCAGCCGTTTTTGAGAAAACGTCGATTTACGGCAAAAAATCTGTTCACACACGCACACACATACATACTTTTCCAAATTTGGTATCATTCGATTTAGAATGGCTTAAAACGTCGAGAAAACATAAAATTGGCGAATAGGAATTTTTGATAAAAACGTAAACTTATCCTTCTAAGTTAAATATAATCCCAATGAAATCTGTGGTTCCAATCATTGAACTCGTGTTTGCAAAAATTTGTTATCTTGAAAAATGTATTACAAAATAGTAAGACAAATTTATACCTGGTTGTTTCGAAAACTTTGTCAAACAAAAATATACCAGTATGATAATATTGATGTGATCACAATATAATCTGTATCACAATTTTATATAAATATTTGTTTTGTTATGCAGTAAAGTTCAAATAATATGCGGGCAATTATTGTAAAGTATAACACATGTGTTAAATGAATCTAAAAAAATGCTTTTGTTGGATGGACAATATAATTTTTTTTCACAGGGCTTCAAATTGTAACACAAAATTAAACAATAGGGGCTCAAAATAATACAATAAAAGGCTTTAGAATAAATCTCTTACTATGAATTTATATATAAAGCCTAATGAAATCTTGAAAAATGTCAGGGACATTCAAATCGAAATGAAAGTAAACAAATAAATGTAGAGGCTCAAATATATATTAGAAAAAATGATTGAGTAAAATGTTAAGGTTTAAAATGTTAGGTTTTAAAACAGAAATACACCAAGAATCCAAAACTTGATAACGACACAATTTTACCTGTTTCAAAACACCAAACGAAGCAACAGAAATAGAACAAAATTAATATTATGGAATATGGAATCACATCGATAACGCTTTAAGAACATACAAAATTCCTATGAAGACAACATACATGAAAACCCTTATAGTTTCATGATATGTAAATCTAAACCAAAATAAGCATTTAGAAAATGCCAGTTATATGCAATCACAAGTGATAGAACAAGAACCACTGGGAGTAGTTGAATAAGTATGGAGTATAACCCAAATTTGAAAAATATTCAAAATTCTATGAATATCTATGAAGACACAACCTCTATTACAACAACCATGAGAACTCTTCTAGTTTCATGATATATGAACCTGAAGCAAAGCAGGCACAAATTAAAATTGCAAATCTTAACAAAATTGTTAGTTATATACATCCGAAAGCTGATTGTGTAAAGACATGAAAGTCAGACTACCCGTAAAGACATGAAGAAAAAAGAATTGGTAAATGATAGAACAATAAGCACCCAAGGTGGTTATACTAGTAAGAGGTTTTCATCAGATTACTCAAATTTGAGAAATGTAACTGATTTTCATTAAACAAATTATGTAATTGAAGAAATATATGTAATTTTGTATGTTATACGAAAAACATACAGAATTCCTACAAAAACACAACATCTATTACAACAATATAAAAAACAACTGCAATGTGTGCACAAATTAAAATTACAAATCTTGTAAGTTATATGCATTGAAGAGCAGATCATGTATATCCATAAGCAACATATGCTAAATTTAATTTTATAACATGAAATGAAAAGGTAAATGACAGGAGAAGCACTCGAAGTGGCTGAACAACAAGCATGGGGTTTTTATGAGCTTACCTAGATTTGCAAATTGTTATTTTCAACATAACTAATTTTTATTTCATCCGCCATGTGATTGAGGAAATACTTGCAGATGTATTTTGCATAGAGCTTCAAGAATACACAAAACTCCTATGAAAACACAACATCTATTACAACACCCTTAAGAACCTTATTAGTTTTATGATACAAAATAGTAGAAAAAATTGGTTCATAAACCAAGGTATGCAGGATTTAAAATTACAAATTGTAAGTAATTGCCAGTTACATATATTCGAAAGATGATCTTATGTTTCGATAACAACATGAAATAAAAAGGTAAATGACAAACTCGTGACAGTAAGAGAAGCATTTGAGGTGGTTGAAGGAGCATGAGGTTTTTATGAGTCCAGATTTGCAAAATGTTTTTCTAACCATAACTAATTTTTATTCAATCAACCATGTGATTGAAGAGATACTTGGAAATCAAAAACACTTACAATTATGATACAAAATAGTAGGAAAAATTGGTTCATAAACCAAGGTATGCAGGATTTAAAATCACAAATTGTAAGTAATTGCCAGTTACATATATTCGAAGGATGATCATTTGTATCAATAACATGAAATAAAAAGGTAAATGACAAATTCATGATAGAACGAGAAGCGCTTGAGGTGGTTGAAGGAACATGAGGTTTTTATGTTACAAAATATTATTTTGAACATAACTAATTTTTATTCAACCGCCCATGTGATTGAAGAAATACTTGTGCATTGACTAGAAAAACGAGTTTTTACTTTTTGACAGTTAAATATTGAACTAACAAACAAGTTGAGATAATAATTCAATTAAATTTCTAAAGTTCAATTTTTTCCTGGTGTATGCACAATATACAAACTTATTTTATTTTATCTGATTATTCTAATTGTTAAAATAAGGTTATATTTTAGTATTTCGACCTTTGAAAAGAGATCCTAAAAATTCACGGCCGTGAAACGGAAATCAGAGGACACTGCACGCCAATATAATTTCGCCAAGGAATGCAAAAAATGATAACCTTGTTCAATATTGAAGCAATATCTATAAAATGTTGGATCTGCTCCAAATAACAGAAATTCGTGAATGATAGCTATAACAACAAAAGTGCTGATAAAGCATCGATAAAAGGAAATTTTCTTACGTCATTATAATAACTAATTGCATTCGTGATATTCCAAATTTGTTTACAACCAAAAGCATGCATCCTTAAAACATTAAAAAATATAAATTACATATATAATATATAAAATTCTATTAAAAAATCCACCAAATAAGTAAATTCATAATTGCATACTTGACCAAGCCCGATGTGTAATCCAAATGTACATTAATCCTACTTAAAATATCACTGCAAAAATTTACTGAACATTGCATTTATTACAAAATATTGTTAATAGTATTAAAATATTTATAAATGTATCACATGGAATTTAAATTGCACTGCACGTCTAAATAAATACTAACCAATAATTTATGAACTAACACAAGTAGCCATACTGACACTACAAAAGAATATTTTTGACTTTCAGCGTTGGGTGCACTGCGAGTAAGACATTGACCACTGGCACCAACCTCGCTTGGAAATGATTTACGCGCGATAATTAAATATCAACACATCCATGTTTTAAAAAAAAAAGAATGAAATTAAATTACTTACATTTATATAATTACAAAATATTACAAATATACTCATATAAAATTAGTGCGATCACAATGTTTTAAATCTATATTATATAATGATAATAATATAATATTGTCTTGATAAATAAATTTAATCAGCTCAACAAATGGATGACAGTTTTGACTTAAGGACTTAAGTTTTCGACGATTTCGCATTTTACCAACATAAGTTTACGGCTGTCATCTGTTTACAACACAACAGGTTGACATTGAAATGAAATATAAAATTTCAAATATTTAATCGGCAAACTAATGTTCTAAATTTTAATTTAGAATTTTGATTGCTTTATTTATAAATGCAAATTAGGACAATATAAACGACTATGACATTAGACGCGAATTTAAACGCCGATATATTTCGGAGTGTTATTTTGAATGGAGCTAATCACTCAAATAAATATTTCTTGCATGATTTATTAGAAATTAACGATGGTCTGTATATCCTACAACATGTTTAATATTATTTTTTTATATATCTAATATATTCTATGCTCAAAGACAATACTGTCCTGCTGTGCTCAAACGACATAGTTAGCAGATTCCAAAATGGTCTGCTCTCGCTCTATAAATCTCCAGAAGATTTATTGAAACAGAATGTCCTTACTTCTCTGAAAGAAGAAGTAACATCAAGTGCAGCTGCATTTATAAATAGCAATCTGGTATGTTTATATCCTTCAGTTATTCTTCAATTATTTTGATTTATTTTATCTTTAGATTTTTGTTGCTGAAGACTCTGGTGTAATGAAATTGCACACTACAGACTCATATGATGGCAAAAATGGAAAACTACGAACTGTATCTAAAACATCAGCACATCAAGATATTGTTAATTCTGTTATTAAACTAACAGGTTCAACTAACTGTGTCACAGCTGGAAATGATTTGGAAATAAAAGTAATTATTTTGAAAACACTAATACTGAAGTAAATAAATTTAGTAATTCGTATTATTTCTGCTATAGATTTGGGATACAGATTACCTTCAAGATAGGTTTGCAGCAATACATAGTTTTTATCCAGCTCATAGAGATTTCATTACTGATTTGACAGTGAACGATTGTGAAGTAAATACTTTTGGCTCTTGTTCCAATGATCACATAAGCTTCTTGTGGGATTTGCGCAAAAGTACTCCAGCCACAGGTAAATTGATACATGGAATGGTCAAATTGTCTAAACTTTATTTTAGCTTTGTGTTTTTACTTTTCTATTTGAATTCTAAACATGATTATATTTTTTACAGGTTTATTCAAGAGTGAACATGGCCTGAAATGCATAAATTGGCAACCTGAATCTAATGTGGTGGCATTGGGAGATTGTGATGGCACAATATTTTTGGTGGATACCCGATATCCAGGAGCTGTATTTAAAAAAATTCCTTGTTTCACAGCAGAGCTTCACAAGATAGAATTTTGTCCATCAAAGTATGTATTGAATTATTCCAATAATTCCTCTTTTTTTAAATAGTTCTATATTTCATAATTATTTACAAGATTGTTCTATACAATTTGATCATGTTTTTTCTTTAATTTCTTTGTTCATATTGTTAATTATTGTTCATATTTTTAGCACAAAACTTCTAGCTGTTTGTGCTGATGATACAGCAGTTAAAGTAATAGATATTGAAAAGGATAATCCCGATTGCATTATTTATGAAGAAAATAGTCATACCGGTTTAGTACGGGGTCTTGCTTGGAATAGAGAGTCTCAGGAGTTGTATACCTGTGGATATGATAATAAATTAGTAACGCATTCTATTGAGCTGTGATGAATATAAGGATTCATTCTTTTAAATAAACTTTTTAAATTGTTTCATTTTTTGTTTTAATTTTTTCCCAAATTCATTTGTGAGATCTATGAAATTTCAGAATACTGCAACTAATATATATATATATATATATATATATATATATATATATATATATATATATATATATATATAAATATCAGGTGGGCAATGATGTACAAATTTTAGTTACAAAATTATTACTATTCATGGAATTCTCTAATGTATTGCCCATTTTGATCAACAACCTTTTGCCATTTTTTAACCAGCATTTTAATTCATAAAACTTCTGATCTCTATTTTAAAAAAAACCTTAATAAATTTGACACCATCATCATTATTAATTAAACTCGTATGGTGGAGTACCATAATCTATTTCAACAATTAGTAACAGTTTGATTCAAATCTCTTAGTTCCCATATTTAACATATTCTATATATTAGATTATAGAACTTGCTATTTATATTATAAATATATAAATAATATTTAGTACTTACTGTCTACACACTGTTTTGAATTTCCCCAGATTTATGTGGAATATTATTGTTAAGATTCACAGAAGCTACATGGTCGGCACCTGGCTGTTGCTGCACCTTAATAAAAGAATGAAAATAGCAATTAAATAATTTCAAAATTCTACTCTATATAATTTCATATAGATAAATTATACCTGTGGTATTTGATTGCCCTGGCCTACTTGCTTACTTCCTTGAGATATATTTTGTTGTTGTGTGTTAACATGCTGATTATTTTGTTGTTGATTTATCTGATTACTATTTATTTGCTGGTTTTGCTGATTATTTAATTGTTGATTCTGATTATTAAATTGCTGATTTTGTTGATTATTCAATTGTTGATTCAACTGATTATTGAATTGTTGGTTTTGCTGATGATTTACTTGTTGATTTTGTTGATTATTCAATTGTTGATTCAGCTGATTATTAAATTGTTGGTTTTGCTGATGATTTACTTGTTGATTTTGCTGGTTAATGAATTGTTGATTTTGTTGATTAATTTGCTGGTTGGGAATTGCATTACCATGTGGAGGTGGCTGAGGTGGAACTCCATGTTGGGCTTGGTTATAAATCTCATTCATTTGCGCCTGATGAACCTGGTTTGGGTGCATATTTTGATAGTTTGGATGTCCTTGTGGTGGAAACTGAAATAATTAAAAATATAAAGTTTAATACAAATGAACTAGAAATAAGACTTGTAGTGATTTAGGTTACAGAGAAATTACAATTTAAATCTTGTAACACATGCAATAAGATAATCATACATTTTATACTGCAAATATACATTAAATAAATGTAACATTACAAAAATTACATACCTGTCCATTAGGAGGCATTTGTCCTGGATGACCATAAGGATTTGGGGGTAGCTACCAATAAAGCAAAATCATAATGCATATCACACAAAAAACTACTAATGATAAGAATTGTAGCTAGTTTTGAAAACAGAAATCATTGTTAATTTACTTATAAAAAGTAAAGACAAACAATTAATATTTAAGAATTGTTATAAGAAATAAGTTATTTGATTTAATTACCAAAATATTCACTCTAAAATATCAAATCAGTTTTACTATTTAGGAAGAAAAATTAACAAATGCGATATTAATTAATAAGATGATATTTGTAAAAACTATTAGATAATCTAATAGTTTATATACATTAAAAACATTATATTAACTAACTAAACGAGCAGTGCATACTAACTAATATTATGTATGCAAACAGTGTAATTTTTCAAAATTTGAAAAAAAAACTAATCAAAAATGTAGTGAAATACTTACCATTTATTTTTAGAATTCAGTTAATTTAAAATTAATGATTAATTAGCCAAATATATCAACTATCATTTAGATATTTTGTTATTTATACAAAAAAACTAGCCACACAAGACAAAATGTACATAAAGTAAACATACCATTCCTTGTTGAATCATGCGCTGAATTTCTTCTTGTCTTCTCCTTTCGAATTCTTGATACTCTTCGTGTGTATAAATTTTTTGAGTTTCCAAGGTGTCCCAACCTTGATCTCTTTGGAACTCTTCACGTTTAGTTTGGTCAAAGAATTCCTTATAACTGAAAGGAAAAGACTATGTGAAATGCCATTCCTAAGTATTTGTATTGCAATAATAGATAGTATTTGTCAAATGCTAATTGATAATTATAATTGTAATTATAATATATATAAATATTAAATATCACTAAAGTACTTTCTAACAATTTGCATCCAAACAAACTACTGCATTCTCAAACTCTCTTATCAAATTCATCCAGTAAAAATAATATTTACTTCTAATTTATAAAAAAAAAAAAATTGTATTAGAATAGCAGTAATAACTATAAATTGCTACTGATTACTATATAGCTCACCTTATTAAACCGTCTCTGTTAGTATCAGCCTCTGCAAACACATGCTCCCTCATCCTCTCCATTTCTTCAGCCCGTTCCCTCATATCATCTTCTGGAGCACCCTGCTGGTACAATTTATCCAATTCTTTCAAAAATAAAGCTTTTACTTCATTTTCATCCCAAACACCATTGCCATCAAGATCTGATAAAATGATTGAAAAATTAGTTTATTATTCTTAATCTTCAATTATTATTATTCAATTTTTTCCTTTACCATGTAGCATGAAGAAAGTTCTTGGATCAAAATTTTGATTTTCCATATGATCCTGCTTTTCCCAAACTTCTTCTAATTGTTGTTTACTTCCAGGATGATGTAACTAACAAATTATAAAAAATATATAGAGATTATTTTCAAATTTGTTTAAATTTTCAATATTTTTTTAAAAAAAGCTTACAGGTTCATGTTTCTTGTGTTTTTCTTCTTGATCTTTTAATTCCTTTTCATATTCTTTCCTATGTTCTTCATCCATTGATTTTAATTTCTCCTGCTTCTCAAACTCCTTCTGCATTTCATATTCCTAGAAAATAAAAAAATAAAATAACAAATAAAACTAAGCCAAAGAACATTATAAATGGCTACTTTACAGTATGTAAATTGTATTTCATATTAACTATATTTTATTACTATTACCTTAAACTCTTGCCTTCTTTTCTTGTCAGCTTCTGCAAGATCTGCGGTTGTTTTTAAGATAAGTTTTTTCAAATCTTCCACTTCAAAAGTGTGTTCATTTGTATGATCTAAATGTTCTTTGATCTTTAAATGCTCAGTATCAATATCATTTGTTAATTCAAATTGTTTTGTGGCCAAGTGACGCAGTCTTTCCAGCTCTTGCCTTTTAAGTTCATCTAATTTTGTTCGAACATTATGATTTACGTATTCTAGCTCATGAGCAATTTTTCCCGTCTAGAAAAAAATCATATAAGTGATAAATTATATTTATCTGGTTAAATATATTTAAAATATAAATTCAATGAAAATATTTTGATCTTTCCTTTTAGGGATAAAAATAATGAATAAATATTCTAAAAGAATGAAATTAGTCTACTGTAACAAAATATTTACATTTAATGATAAATAAATAATAATAAATGTAAAATAGATAAGTATGATTAATGAAAAAGCATATTAAAAGCATTATATATTTAAATTGAGTTGCAAAAAATCCAAAGTATTGATAAAAGTCACAATAACAGATAATTAGTTGAATTTTAATGTTTTTGCATAGATATCCATATTTAGAAACCATAAAATTAATCAGTAAGTAAAATAGAATTAAATGAATGCAAATCAACAAGTATGCTATAAAATAGTTATTTTATACCATTTTAGCATGTTATATTTTTAATGCTCTTAACTTGTTAATTAATTGCTTTGCAATCAAATATAAGGACAGCAATTGAATCCTTCGTAAATTTATTTATGAAACTATGAAATAATTGAATGTAAATGGCATTGTATCATTAGGGAAGATGCCATACTAAATTAGCAAATCAGATTTTCTGGCAAAAACATGAACTTTTTCTTAATCATAAGTTAAGTTAAAAACAAAACAGGTATATCTTACCCTAATATCGACTTCTTCAGCCTTAGTCAATTTTTCTCTGAATTCTGGATCACTCTCTAGCGCTTGCACAACTTCTTGCAGGTACCTATGGTATTCCATGTATTCACTGAGGTCTCCTTCTTGGGCATCCTGGTTATTAGCATCATTGGGGGCTTCTCCTGGTTTCTTAGTAGTCACTGGTGCACATGTGGTGTACTGTAGTGCTACCAGCGAGATGACCACTAGTAATGGAAGAAGATTCATTGTCTGTGAAAAAGAATAAAAGGTAAGTGTATGCAAATTAATATTCATATATTAATCTACTTTCAAGTATTGGTTAACTCAATTAAATGAAATGAATTAAATCTAATATTTAAAGTATTTCCTTACACAAAGATTAAATTTTGGATAAATATGATCCCAAAAAAACTCTTGTGTTTAGTAAATATTTCCATAATAAAATATTGAATGATTTGCTTAAATCTATAAATTTGTATTCAAATAGCTTCCTTGATAATAGATTAGTTTTGGGGCAAATATGACTACAAAAAGTACTTTTGCGTTCAGTGAATTTGTCATACATCAAGAAAGTTAATAATATTAAATTATATATATATATATATATATATATATATATATATATACTATCTTTGAAAGTATAATATTAATGATACACATGTTTCAAGACTAATTTTGTCTCATTTTCAGTGCAAATAAAAATAGCTATGTAAGAAAACAATGCAGACTGAAACACCAAGTAAAAAGAAATATTTTATCCACAATTTTGTATTTTAGGTTTAGGTTTTACCAAAGGTTGCCTTATACCACTTAACAAAAAGGCAATGATTAAACAAAAGGATACCAACTTCCTACCCATGTAATATACAGAAAATATAAATATTCCTTGACTATGTTTTAAACTTAGTAAAACAGAAACAATTTCATCTCATTGCCATCCCTTACCCCAAAATATTTATTAAAATACTCTTGCACAATTGTAAATACAGTTTAACAGTTGTTGAAATACTGGAACTACTAATAGGATTTGAATATAGTTTTGTGATGGTCATAAAAGCACTTGGTTATAAGATTATATTAAAATTTACATGCCTCATTTTTTAATATTTTTAATGATAGGGATTAGCTCACAGAGTAGCGTTCCCGATTGACACACAGAAGGTTCTGAGTTCGAATCTCTGGCAAGAATTTGAAAAATATTAAGTAGTTAAATTTCAATTATAATAGAATTATGAATTGTAACAACAAATATGTATGTAGAAATGTTCAGAAACATGTATTAAAGTTTAAGAAATAGAATTAAGTGAACTTAAAGTAGTAGAAAAAGGAAGAAGGAAGAGATATCTTATAGTATTTTGCACTGAATGATCTTGATGTAAGTTGAAACATATGAATATAATACTGTTTGTAATTTTTATGTACTGTGTTTTTTGATTTGTGTTATGCCTAAACTAATTCACTGATATATATATATATATATATATAATATATAAAATATATATATATATATATATATATATATATATATAACACTTCAATCGAAAGAAAACAAAATATATTTTTTATAGAAATTTCCATATTGCTGAACATCGTAAAATCCAAATAATCCATATTAGTATCAAGTATTTTAAAATGAAAATAGCTTGTGATTCAAAATAAATTCATTCCATACATATATAAATAAGAATTGAAAGAAATAATTGCATCATTTTTGAAATTAGTTTTCTCGGTCTTTTCAAGAAACAATAAAATAATGATATAAATCATTGATTTTACTCTTGATAAGTTAATATTATATATAAGGTGGCTCTAAAATCATATAAAATAAAACATCATTGTATTTAATGATCATTATGTTATTGAACTATATGCATTTGTGTAAACAATAAAATAATTTGATAATATTTAAGATAAGCCAATGAGGTCATTTCTTCAGCAACAAAATGATGCAATAATTTTTTTTGTGGAAATGAGTTCTGTTTATTCTACATTACTTGTAGTCATTGGTTAATATTTAATAACTAATAAATAAAATCAGCTAACATCAATATTTGCAAAAACATGAGACAAATTTTGATGGATGACATTGTAAATTAAGTGGTTGATACATTTCACTTTTAACATGATTTGTTCACACACAATTTATTTATATAGTTAAAGCCTTACATATATTTATATTGTTTATAAATAATAATTATGTTATTAACTTACTCTTGTGATTATTTACTGATTCATGGGTGAAATATATAGTTTTTAATGCACTTTTAGCAAAATTGGATCACGAAACGTTTATTTTCTATGCACGAAAAAAAAACGACTAGCACAAGAACACCACGTAAGTAGAAGCAAAAGACGATTACTAAATTTGCAGTAATTTTCTTTATTTGACGTTTGCACAAGAGTGAAGTTCGTTAATGTCATTTTATTTGCAGGTTTGCCAATCGCCATCTATACTCGACCAGAAGAACTAATTTGACAATTAAGATTAGATTCTTATCAGAATACACGTGCGATAACGCTTTCTATGCTTTCGGCGTTCAACTTGTTTAATAATTTAAAAATAAACATTCTTCGCAATATGAGCACCCTGGATAAAGCCAAACAAATCGCAGCTTACAAAGCCGTCGATGAATATGTAAAAACAACTCAGTAATAGGCATTGGCAGTGGATCTACAGTCGTTTTCGCAGTAGAAAGGTTAGCAGAAAAAGTAAAAACAGACAACTTGCAAATTGTCTGCGTTCCTACTTCTTTCAATCGAGACAACTCATCATCAAGCACAATCTAACACTTGGTGACTTAGAAATCTACCCAAAATTAGACTGTGTCATCGATGGTGCTGATGAGGTAGATGCTAAACTCACCTTAATCAAAGGCGGAGGAGGTTGTTTGCTACAAGAAAAAATAGTCGCATCATGTGCACAAAAAATGGTTGTCATAGCTGACTACACAAAAAATTCCTCCAAACTCGGTGACCAGTACAAAAAAGGAATACCGATTGAAGTAGTTCCTATGGCTTATCGACCGATCAAAGATAAAATTGAACAAACCTTTGGAGGCACTGTTGTCCTACGAACTGCTGTTGCCAAAGCCGGTCCTTGTGTTACTGATAATGGAAATTTCATATTAGATTGGAAATTTGTTAATCAAGATGTAGATTGGAGTGAAATCGATACTAAAATTCATTTAATTCCTGGCGTTGTTGAGACCGGGTTGTTTGTAAATATGGCAGAAAAAGCTTATTTTGGAATGGCTAATGGAGATGTTAAAGAACAATGTTGAATCAATATTTGTTATAATGTAGTTGCTATAGATTTATATTTTTATACAAGTATTTTTAATAAAAAGAATTCAAACATTCTTTTATTTGTATAATTTATATGGAAAACTGAAAATAAATCTGTACTATAATTATTTTCCTTACAGGCACAATTATTTTTCTATTCAATTATTAACAGCAAATGTATTTATAAATTCAAATTATATATTTTTGATATTACATAATTTATAAAAAATGTGTGAAGGAAATAAAGTACATTATTATAACTTATTTGCACAACTAGAATCATATCTTATATAAATGCATTAAAATATGATCTCTAGATTAATAAAAATGGAAGACTATTGTGATATAGCTGTTGTAAATTTTAAATCTAATTTTCTATACATTAAACGTGCACATAAGCTATATCTGTCATATATTCAACATGCAAAATATTTGTATAAAACACTTACAACTGAACACAACGTTAAAATTAGTAACAAGTAATATCACTTATTAATAAAAATATTTTTTATAAAACTAATAATATATTATAAATTATAATTGTGCTGATTTATTAATAGGATTTTGAATTTCTTAGATATTTTATATATATTATTGTTAATCTATAAATATATTAATCTTTTTCATTAATAAATAAATGTAATTCATAGGGGATATTATTTGAGATTTTTAATGATTGCACAAAATATCATTTATACTCAAAGTGTTTAAACTCTCACAACAATCAAGCTTTACGAATTTGCTGCTTTGATAAATTGACTATTCTTAATAATCACTTGTTTTACAACCATTTTTATGTTTATAGAAAAATATAAACTTAAACTACAAACTAATAGGAATAACATATATCGAATCATATTTTAAGTATACAATTGTATGCTTGTATTAATATTGTCAATAATATTTAATTTAACTATTATTTTATTGCAAAGTGCATGGGTAAACATATCTATCTTGCATTAAACGATATTAGAAAATGTTATCAGAAAATATTTAAATATTTCTGATATATATATATATATATATATATATATATATATATATATATTTCATAGCCAATGCATCAAAATAAAATTATTTGAAATTGTATAGTTTTGTGAATAAAATGAATACACATTTATAAATATGTATGTATAAGTAAAATATATAAAAGAACTTTGTATATTTACAATTTTAAATAATTTATACTTTATTTAGCATGTTCATTATATATTATTTTCATTATAGAAAGACTATTAAATTTATATATGAATATATATTTAAGTTTTTCTAGATATCTATTATTATTTATGATTTTATTTTTCTAAACTAAGAAACTCCTTTATTCTCAAAAAAAACATATTCGATTATAAATATTTTTAAATAAAAATTTAAATGGTTTTTTGAGAATAAAAAGGGGCTTTTAATTGACAAAAATAAAATCATATATATATATATATATATATATATATATATATATATATACAAATTTATTTTTGTTCATTGAAGTTAATAAATATGATTTTCTAATATTTTATGTACCCATACACTTTTGTTTAGAATTCTAATCTCATAAATACGTTTTAAATTTTTAAAACAAATTGCACATCTGGTTATTTGAAAATTAAACCTAAACATTTTTCAGGGTAATAAAAATCTACAAACAAATTGTTAATTATAAAATCTATTATTTCAATTTGATATATGTAGATACGTCATTTTAAGTATTCAAATAAATATCACACTGGCAAGCACAATGCACTTGATCTTCACAACGATCGTGAAAAAATTAACTTAAATATATTACATATAACTTACTTGTAGCATATTTACTTTTGTCGACAGTGCTTTCTAGAATAATTGATTATATAACTAATAAAGTTTGAACTAGTTTAGTTGATAACCTAAATTTCTGTTATAAATGTTAACATATATAAAGATATTAGCGCAAAACATTGGATTCAAGTAATCGTATAAAAATATTTATGCTATTTCAACATACATATAATAGATATATAAAATTTATCATACGTCATTCAGTAGAGTAATAATAAATAAAGATAAGTCATGAAATCTTTTCATATAATTGCACAATAGTATTGAACACATGCTAGAATTTATAATTCTCTAAATTTTAAAAAACAAGTATGTGCTGATATATATTAGTTACTAATATTGAAATAAACTATATTTTTTATAAGTTTTCAATCAATTTTCAACAACTACTTCTTGAGTTTTATTTTCTTTTTTGAGTTTGTAACTGTAGCGAAAGCCTTAATAAATTTATATCATTCTTAATTTGTCGAGAACTAAATATATCATTTATATAACTTACAGTCAAATTACTGGTTACATATCTTCATACATTAAAGGTTTCTGAAGACTCTGAGGGTTTTTCATAAGAAAATCAATTTCTTTAAACCTCCTTGGTAATCAAATTAAAACTTTAAACCATAAATAACTCTATGATCTGATTGTGTGGAGGTACGGCTGCCCTCTGTACCTTGTCATGGTCGGCTGATATTACTGGTGCAACTGCTGGTCCTCCCATCGTTAAGCAATCAGCTGATATCTGAAATACAGATTTAATCAAAACATTTTATTCAAACATCTTGTAATTAAAATTCCTAATTTAAAATGGGGCAAGTTTTAAAATAATCTATAATTTTATAAACAGTATGGGAAAATGATGTGTATAAATATAATTTTTCAAATAAAAACCAAAACTTTCTACATGGAAGAGAATGATGACCTATACCTATACTATAATCTTTGGGAACAAAACCTAAAAGATGTTCAGACTTTTTCAGTCATCTTTCTTAATTTTCTATTTTTTTTACTACTTTGGCACTCTCACACATACTTTTCACACTTTTGGTGTCACACAATTCAGAATGACTTGATCCAAAATTAACAATGATCAGAAGTTGATTAGTTGCCTTACCAAAGCAGGCTGAGTTTGAATTGCAGGCTGTAGTCCTCCATAATAACTTGTTGGTGAAACTGGTGGACTTGGGTAGCCCCAGTAAAATATTGGAGGCGGATAAAAGGCAGGATGTCTTGGGGCTGCCAAAGGGCCGTAAGGACTGTAACCGTTAGCTACACCAAATGGCGGAGGTAAAATTGCACCACCTAATAATACAGTAGGAATACATAAATATCATGTCTTCTTTAGGAAAAAATAGAATTTTTTGATCTTATATAATTAACAACTAATATAATTTGGCTCCAACATCAACCTTAGATTACTTCAATGTAATTTACATGAAAATAACTTTGATACACATTAAAAAAAAAAACAGTTCAACAATTGAAATATTATAAATAATTGTTTTATTTGGAACTTCTTATTTTATTAAAATTTTTTATTTGAAGTATCTAATAAGAGAATGTTGAAGCTAACTACTTGCTATAAAATATATACAAAATCTTCTTAATTATACACATATCAATAATATGACCAATAATTTTTTTTTATAATTCAACCAATATAATTCTATTCATAGAAATAAAATAAATTAATATAGGCTTTTATATTAATTTTGTTTTTCTCCAACTTACAATCGGCTTAGGATTATTTAGAGACAAGAAAGAAAAGATTTAGAAGAGCAAAAAAAGTAAAATCTATGAAAAACTGGATTTTCTGATTTTATATAGACTAATTTCTGAAACCACTGATAACTACATTTTACCAATGGCTAAAATTGTTATCCGAGAAGACCTTCCAGCAAAATTTTTTTGACTTTATGGAAGCAAAATCATTTTTCAATAAAATTTATCATCCATAGGCCAAGTTGGATAAAAAGTATACATCTAATCCTTTATATATCCAAATGGTGATCATCAGTAGATTATGATTCCACTAATGGTGATCATCTAGTTATTTGGATTCATAGAAATTTTTCTACCTTGTAGAAAAATCTAGTAAATACGATTCCAAAACTGATGCCATTAAATTAAATTGATTTTTATCAATAAGATGATTAAGTGAATAAATTTAAAAAGCCGATTGCAAAGTCTAGGGCCAAATTTCTATGTACAATTGTTTCTATAACGCTATTTAGACGATATCTTTTTCTTTTAATTAAAAATTTGCCATTGATTAAAATTATATTAATTACACCCATTTCTTGCATATCCCTTGAAACAAAATATACATATTTGATTACATAAAATGATGTTTAACAAATTTCAAATCAATGTATAATTGAATGTGTGATGTACCCCTAAACTAAAATATATAAGTAAAAATTAACATATTATAAAACATTAAGTATTAAGTTTCAACACATGCAAAGAGTCCATATACAGAATTGAAGAGCTAGAATGTATGTAATTTTCAAACGCATTGTATCATATTATATTTTCTAGATTTGATTTCAGATATATTTCAATTACAAATTTCGATTGATTGTTAATAGACAATTATAACGACCGTCCACACCCGAGTTCTTTGACAATCTAATAAAAGCTAATACAGAAGAAATAGCCTTTCCTAATATACATCACATTAGAAGATAGTAAAATAAGCGATATAGACAAGACAAATGCGAAAACATAAGATTTAATTTAATTTTATGTTATTAGTCCAAACAAAGTCTACATTTTCACCAACAAATATAAAGGAAGTGCGCATTGATCGTATGTGTATGTGTTGAAATGGAAGACAAACATATTATTCCTGCTAATTAAGCATAATATCATTTTTAATATGTAATGAATGAAATGTATACCTATTTATATTAATGTGTAGCATCAGTAACATCAAAATAACTAAACATGTTGTAACCAACTAAACCAATAATAAAATAAAGATACACTCATATGATTCACCATATGATTAGAATTGCGATCATACTTGACAGGATAATAATAATTGGACAATAACTTACGCAAGATATCTTTTAAAACCTTAATTTTTACAATTGAACCACTTTTCATAGGCCTATAATATTTTAAGGTGTTTGTTTTGGCCAGCGACTCGATCATAATGTGAAGTTGATGAATCAAAATCCCAGAAGAGTAAACCTATGGTGCTCCTCATCAGAAAACGTCCATTAATCACGTGATCGATTTTTAAGGATTTTTAAAGATTTTTGGCCCCCTCCTTCCCCCTTGGTGATACATGGTGATTTTTAGACCCTATTTGAATAGACCCTCCCCCCTCATGTGATACTTCATGATTTTTTGTCAAACCCCTCCCTCTCCCTTTGAAGACCCACAAGATTAATTCACACCCCCTTAGTTTGTTGCTAAAAAAAGTTAATTTGCAACAAAAAAGCGATTTTGAAAATGTAGTAATTTGAAACCAAACTAATATTTGTTTTAATTAAGGTTATTGGGGAGGGGGGGTATTTGTGGTTGTATGGTAAACGCCTGGCTCTGTAATCACAAAGTCCCAGGTTCAAAGCCACATTTTGGACGTGATATCTATTTTTACTTGCAAATATAGATAAAAATACATTTAAAAGTAAAAATAGTCCTTCCCGGAGCCATTGCTACATCAAGTTGAAAACATTATTACAAAAATTCTAATACAAATATAGATAAAACAACCTTAGGAGGGTTGCCTTTTGAACCTACAACATTTTAGCCGAAGGTTGTCTTAAATATATTTTATTAAAAATTTTGTAATAATATTGAATTATTAACTTGATGCATCAATGCCCCCGGTAAAGGCTATTTTTATTTGGAAACATATTTGCACCTAAATTTTCAAGAAATTATGGATATCAGATAGAAGCATTATGACAACACCTCATAAGAACTCTTAAGATCTGATCTCATAAGATCTTGATCTCTTAAGATCAAGATACATTAAGAACAATGATTCCTATATCAGTTATCCTTTACCAAGTCTGATCACAACTCCACCATTTTATTTGTTCATTACTCTATTTTGAAGTTACCTCCGCCAATATAAACTTTAGATGGCTACAGAATAATTATAATTGAATAAAAAGTAAACACTCACCTTGTACCATATATTTTTTCATAATAAACCATACACCGATTTTCCCATTTTACACATTTTTATTTTTTGAGAAGGGTTTCGACACAATATTTAGGCCACAGTTATGTGTGACATCCAGCAAGCTGCACCAAAAAACCTGACTATGTATATATAGATAAAGTGCGGAATTTGTATGCCCTCGTTTATTAAGATAGTGAAATAGTTAATTGATGGTTGATTTTGTCGGATGATTGTTCTGTTTTGTTTTTCAAATATTATACAATGTTCACCCAAATAGAAATTCACCCTTTACTCGTGAAAGTAATACGAAAATAGAATAAATGATTTAATACATAGGTATATTGTTCAGAGTCTGACGTTTTTACTTCTAAGAACTTCAAAACTTCATAGTATTTATATACTCAATCACATACATATATAAAAATTTAAAAAAAAATGTAAAAATCATAAATGTTTTTAAAGGGTACAGAATATACAATTGTACAAATTATAATGCAAAATCAATGTTTACTGATACATATACAAACTTTAAGTGTAAACTAACAATATAAAACAAGAATAAAACAATACGAAAGCGACGGTACTATAGGTACTATTTGAATTTTTTAAGGGGGTATTTTAATGTAGAAGCACGAACTTTAGATCATTTTTAAATCTTAGTAAAAAAAAGCAATGCATTTTTATTCTATAATCTTTTTTATAATTTCTTTATCAACGTTACAAAAGAAGAATTAGAAAAGGAAATTGAACAAAAACAAGTTAATAATTTCAAAAAATAGCAGTGGTTGAAGTGGGGGGTATCAAAACTATGCCCACGATTGCAACCCTCCTAGTAGTACAAAATAAAAAAAAAAGGTTATTGAAGAAAATTATTAGAAAATAAATGATGTAACAATGTATATAACTATTAAGTTTAAAAAATAAATTTTCGACAAAATGGTAACTGCTTGAAAAAAAATCATTTTTACTACGTTTTTGAGATTCTGGAATTTTTTTAAAAATAGTAAAAATTAAACTTTCGAGATGAGGCTAGTATATACCTGAAAAAAGTCTATAAAAAAGATTCTTCGAAAATTTCAAGTAAATCGGTCAAGTAGAACTCGAGAAATCGTGGGCATCGTATTGAAATAGACGCTTTTGAGAAAAACTATAAATATTGCAAAAAGAGTAAAACTGTAAAGGATTATCATGGTCAAGCAGAAGTATCTCCAAAAATAATTAAAACTTTTAAAAATCTTCTCGTACAGGTATTCTTGAATAGTTAAACTTTGAAAATATGAAAAAAAAGAAAAAAAAACTATTTTTTGACTTTCTACATAAGAAAGAGGGTACCCCTTAATATGATGTTGCACGTTATCCTTCATATGATGTTATAAGAATGTCACCGTTTATAAAAATGTTAATGTATCTTATAGTCCAGTCATTATAGTGAGTTCACCTCGTAGTTCGAGATACCCAGCTGTAAGTCTGTAAATACTTGTATATTGCACCCTAAAAGTTGTCTCAAAACCTACATATGGTAGGGTGTACGCAACATATGTAGGTTTTGAGACAACTTTTAAGGTGCAAAATACAAGTATTTTCAGACTTACAGCTGGGTATCTCGAATTCCGAGATTCTTACCCTAAATGACTGGACTATTACGTTTTTTTTGTAAAACACCGACAATATAAAAATTTTATTGTGTTATACTTGGAACAAAACAGAACAACCACCAAAAACCAACATTTTGTGCTACCATCCTTGTATAAAAACATTTGCAAAATTTTAAATGAGCATATTAGCTTTTAGTTCAATGAACAGTGAACATTACAAAATGTAGTTAAAAACTTGTGTGATCCTCTGATGAAGTGACTTAATACACAAATTGATAATATACTCATTAAAATAATTATAAAATTAAGTTTTATAATTATAAAACTTGTTTTGTTATATATAAACCAGCACATTCAAATTCACGCAAAAATTACCCATGAAGCGAATATTATTAATGACAAACAAATTTTTACGGTAAATAAATTATATGTTTTCTGCAGTAATAATAAAAAAGAGAGGTATTAATCTTATCATTATTATTAGATATATTAATTCACAAAACATCCAAATAAATCATTATCCATATAATATATATAAATGAATATAATACAAATAAAACAAG